GAAGATATCCAATTTTCAGATATTTCTGTCAGATAAGCATGACCAGGATTGCTGAGTTCACGTAGCTCATCCATTTTATTTGGTAAACTCACGGAGTCCATGTATGAGCACTTTGTGCTGTCAGTCTGAAACGCGTGAGCTTCTCTGTCCTGTTTGTCTGTATGAGCCTTACGTCAATGGACAGGTAGCCTACCTATACAAGGTCTTCTGAGTTTATAGCCTCTGTCCTTTTCACGTTTTTATGATCAAGACAGTCCACAAGTGGGATGGTCAGCTCCAACTTGCCTTCATGTTTAATCCTGACGTCATATGGCATATCCAGATGGATATGGGTTCCAGTTGGCAACCGACGTCTGTTGGCACGAAATGCTTCCAGAGCTGCAGCCACCATATGAGAGGATGGGGAAGTTATCTTCATGAACCGGGGTCTAGAACCTCTGTTCTTCTTCGCCAGTTTCATCACTTGTTGAATCAGTATGTTTTTGAGCTTCAAGGATTGCTTAATGAATTTCCATTCCCTAAGATCGGAATTTATGTGACCAGGGTCAATGTTTCCTGGTACACTTTGCACAGTGATATTTCTTCCAAGGAAAAACTCGTGAGATTTGTTAGGGATGTTCCGGATGAGACTGAGCTCAGAATACGGTATATCAGGCAGTATACTTACTTTCCCATTTGGTTTCAGTAAGTGACTAGCTACTAGGATATCCTCTACGTCGGTAGCACTAGTGAGTGTTACACGAAGTAGCCTCGATTGGTCTTGATGCTTAAAGTCCTTTCCCAGAGTGAGTCATGTGACCGCCAAAGGCTCTATTCTAAGGACTTCAAGGTTCTCGTTCAACTCTTTCAGGGTTGCCTTAAGGGTTTGTAGAATTATGGTCTACTATGATATTAGTACTGCTCTAATAGTAGACCTAATCCTGAAATTGTAGATTTGTCATGATATAACTGCCTAATCTATAGGATCTTACGTGGAAGTCACACCATCGGCTACATCAACTCACTGTATCGTATCAATTACCAGTACATTATGTAGAACAAGGTTAGGCTAGAGAAGGAACAATATATTTTATATGAATAGAAGATATAAGGTAACATTTAGCAGAGACCACTCCTGCAAGGCCGAGCCATGCCACTCGATCAACTCCAGTCCATTCAATTCATTCTCCGCGCCTTCTCCATTGTTAGGTATTTCCCCGAGTTAAATATTGAATATCTATTTTCTGAGTAGTCTCGTGTTCACAGCTTTGTGGATTGTGTGGCTATTGTCCAATGCCACTACAGGTTCATGATTATGAGGGAATCATCACGAACCTTTATTGTTTTTCCGGGCTCCTGGTTGCTTTCAGGTTGAGGACCTCGTTGTTTCGGAGTCGAAGGGCGTTTCCGATTTCCAGGCTCTTCGGTGACTGGACGGAGATTCTTAGGGGTAGACAAAGTGTCCAAATTCAGCACTGTTTTGTGGTTAAAATATTTGTTAAATGGATTTGTTCCTCAGTCTTCTGTAGTAAGGATGGTAGGTTGGTGAAAATGCGTTAATCCTGACAGATTGCCCTTCAATGAGGGTTCAGCTTCTCCTTGAAAATATCCGCTGATGGGGCTGATACCACTTGTTCGAGTAAGATGTTCCAGTCATTGACTACTCGATGGAAAAACGGGAGGCCACCTTAAGTTTATTAAATCGCGGTTTCCAAGGAATCGAACTTCTTAAACTTGCTCAGCTTCGAAAAGAAGACACTGATCTTCAGCACGAGTTATGTCAATAACCCTAAAACTGCGCATTAAACAAATGGGAACAGGTAAGGAAACCTTACTATGTGACACATCTACAGGTAGGGATTACACAATCGTGCCAAAAATTTATCGACGCAACGTCTTCAATAAGTTGCACAAACTTTCTCATCCAGGTGTTCGTACAACCATCAAGCTCATAGCAGAACAGTTTTGCTGGCCTGGCATGAATAAAGACGTGAGAGAGTGGGCACGCTCCTGTGTAAGCTGCTAAAATTCTAAGATTATTAGACACAACAAATGTCCCTTAGGCTCTTTCAAAACTCCAGATGCTCGTTTCGACCATGTTCATCTGGATTAGGTAGGCATTTGCCAGATTTAAATGGACACTCTTATCTCTTAACCTGCGTAGACCGTTTCACTCGATGGCCAGAAGCAGTACCTATCAAGGACATCACTGCTGAAACAGTGGCCCGCACCTTCGTCGAAAGATGGGTAGCAAACTTCAGCTACCCTCCAACCATCACTACAGATCGCGGACGTCAGTTCGAATCCGAACTTTTCCGTTGTCTGACCGCACTATTAGGTAAAACTCACTTCCGAACGACTGCCTACCACCCACAAGCAAACGGGTTAATAGAACGCTTTCACCGACAACTAAAAGCTCCACTATCAGCTGCAAACATTTCTCAGTGGAGTGACGCTCTTCCACCCTTCTTACTAGTTATTCTCAATGCAGTGAAAACTGACATTGGACACACTGCAGCTCAACTCCTTTATGGAACGACACTTCGACTTTCAGGAGAATTCGAAGATTCGTCATCTTCAATGAACATGGATCTAACCTCCTACACGAACAGGCTTACAAACGCAATGCATCCGGTTAAACCTGTTTCCACTCGACCGCAATCAACCGGTGTTTTTGTTCAACCTGACTTACGATATAGTACACACGTCTTCGTTCGTCGGGACTCACATCGACGACCTCTCGAATCAGCGTACGAAGGACCCTTCAAAGGTGTTCAACGTGGACCCAAGTACTACATAGTCGATAACAACGGAACCAATGATAGCATCAGTATCGATCGGTTCAAAGCTGCGTATTTAGATGGAAATCCTATCCACATCGATTTTCCTTCGGTACAATCGAACGACACGGCTCCGAAACTTATAATACCTCATCCGACAGCCAACACGCACGATGATACTTCGACAGTATCTAAAAATAAACTTAAAACAACGCGTTCTGGAAGAAGAGTAAGATTTCCAGAACATTTAAACGACTATTGCACGCAAGACACTGGTTAACATTTTGCTTCATCTCCATTTTCCATGGCATTATATATAATATTAAAAAATAAATTTTTATATGCTTATATTTATGTATATTTATTATGTTGCTAATATGGATACTAAAAAAATTTTTAAACAAAGGAAAATTTTGCAAAAATCATTTTTACGCCATTTTCCTTTTTCGCCCACTTTGTGTCTTAACGCGCGTACGAGTTTATTTCGACATGTACCTACATATTATATTTTTTTCGTGGACGACTGGAAAAGACGATAAAAAGAACGATGAGGTTTACGAGGAACCAAAAGTTTCATTGTATATTATTTTTTTCACTATATTGTAATTCATGTTCTCCTACAGTAAGGAGAGACGACCAGACGCTGCTAAATCTATCAGAAGAATGTTTACCAACGACAAATTCGTTGGGTTTGAACTTCTGGCTGGCCACGTCTTAGGGTAATCAATACCCCACTAAGGGGAGAGTGATCTGTAGTGGTAACTAAATCCCTGAAATAAATAGCTCTTTAATTATTCGACATTGGATGCTGAACACATTAGTTTCACTGGACTCACCTAGCAGAAGGCGCTCGGTCATGCATCCGCACCAGATCACGAGTGGAAACGCCGTGCTCGACAACCCCTGCAATCGCTAGTCAGATTAGATCAGACGACCCTCGATACATTGATAACCTATCAAATATACCTTCGAAACTCCTCGCTTCTGTCTTTTGATTTCACTTGGTGGATACGCTTCATATAAGAAGGTGTTTCTGGTTAATGCGTTGTCAAACTCCGAATACTTGTGACATCTTCAACATATTAACACCCAAATCATAATTAAAGATACGAAGTGCCAGTATGAGGTCACATCGTGTCCTACGATACGACAAAGGGAAAAGTTTTAGGTGTTTTAAGTGCTAATCGCAAGGGAGTTTAGAAAGACCCTTCAGTAATTTTGTTCTTACACGCTGAACACACTCAAGTGAGTTAGTATTCTTTATCGGACATGGGCTAGGTGCTTGGGTATAGTACTCTAAGTGTGGTCTCATATATGGGATATGAAATTCGAAACATCTCCTCATCAAGGCATTTGAATACTCGGCAAAGGGACCATAACGCATGATAGCCCTCAGCAAAAGCTTCGTTGCAACACGTAGTTGTTTTCAAGTCATGACTTATTATTACTACTAAGTCTTTATGTTTTTGCACGCGTGGACGAGATGTACCATTAATAGTCTAATGATAACTATTACCGTGTCCGATGAGCGTCACCACATTACTTCTAGAATTAGCTTCTAAGCCCCAACCTCGAGCCCATCTAACCAATTCGTCTAAGTCGGCTTGGAGATAAAAATTATCAGCCTCACTTTTATTGTTCGCCAGATTTTTGCATCGTCCGCAACAGTGATAATTTACTAATGTAGAGAAGGAAAAGTAGAGGGCCTCAGATGGTACCTTGGTGTACACAACGTTTGACCGGCTGCCATTCGGATAGCGTTCCACTGACCCTCATATTCTGTCTGCTGTCACATAATAAATTTCCTATCCATTCTTGTACAGCAACTGTTATTCCGAAACTGGAGAGCTTCTGCATAAGACTCCAGTGTGATACCTTGCCAAATTCTTTGCTAAAATATATGAATATAACATCGATAGACAGACCGTTATCTAGGGCTTCTGTCCAGTTCTCTCTCACAATATGTTAGTCAAGCATGAACTCTTGTTATGAAATCCATGTTCTTTGGGAGTCAACAGATTGTGCGGATCTATGTGACTCAGCAACTTAACCCGAATTATCTTTTCAAGTAACTTAAAGACTATGCTGGTTAGACTAGCAGGTCGGTAGTTAGATACGATCTGTCTCGGATCATCCTTAAATATTTGTCATTCACTATATGATCGACAATACCTGGATTATCAGTGAAACTTTAGGGACTATGAGTGGGTTTCAATAAGTTATTTGATCTAAAGATTGATACTTATCGGCTGACCTACAATACCCATTACGGTAGACTGAAAACATTTAGATTGAAACATTGTGTGTCTTTTAAGTTTGTACGCTACGTCCTATGGCAAATATTCCGCGTTTTGGGGTTTCTGCTAAGTATAGGGGAAAAGGTGAACTAAAAATTATAATCTTGATCTTCCATTTAGTTGATGCTGAAGAGACTAACACGACTAAGAGCGGTTCACGTTATTTTTCCGGTTCATCAACAAACTCCCATACTGGTAGTTCTCGGGCTGAAGATGTTAGTCGATCAGACAGTGTTTACAGCTCGGTGAGATATTCATCATTGGTCTCTTTGTTATCTTTGACTTTTTGTCTGTGTAACAAGAGAAAACCATATATGTGCAAGTGGACAGTATAAATGCTTTTCTGGAAGTTAATCTAAAATGTTGATCTGTCGTTTCGTTCTCGCAAGTGCTTGCCTTAAAAGTTAATAAGGACTAATTCATCAAACTCGAGTGATCTCATAATTTTTCAGTCGGCTTCAGTAAATATTAGAATGACATCTGATAAATTCGAGGTTTTTGTCATTAACTAGTCATCGAAACCCGTTAAGGGCTGTAGCTTGGCATCCTACCCTCAAAATTAGTTTGCTGGTTCATGTGTCTACAAATCGAGTGCATTTAGGTAGCAATTCATGGGTATACACTAAGGCTCTTTAAGCATTTGAATCAGGTTTACAGGACTGCGGTGGCTGACCCAGTGATATGGTTATCTTAAGAGCTAAAAACGTTTAATTGGACGAATTTTCGCCTTCATTTCGGCCGTTTTCGCTTTCATCTTAGTGTTGCAGCTACTGAGGGGATAGTATTAACCACAACGTTCAACTTAAGTGATGGTTTTTTCGGGTTTCTATCATACATTCACTTCATTTTCTTATGCTTCAAATGATGAAAGTACAAAATCGTTCTCCTTCTCCTTGTGCTTCATTCATAAAACCACTAGTCAGCTTAATAGTCCGTCTATATCCATCAACTTGCTCTTTTGAAGTTGATTTCCACTCACAGGTAAAATGAACAATAGTTAGGCTTTTCAAACGAGTTCATAACCCACTACTGACTATGCACTACTTATTATCTGACGAAAATTGCATGAACGTGGAAGACAGCACTGACCATTAGTATATACTCTGGTGACTTTTATCTAAGTTAATTATAACATCTTGGGTGTATCGTTAGGGAGATTATGGGTCTGAATGACTTCAGTCATCAATAGTTAGTCAAATGTAATGTCAGCGTACTTTTATTTCGTCCTAGAAATGAAGCCGACGTCGTAAGTGCAACGAAGCCAGTCTTATTTTGTCTGTCTACTTGAATGTCTTTACAATTAGTTTCTGATATTTATCGCATCTGTTTATATCTTTGAATTCTCAAGTAGAACATCATTTTCGAGACAAAAACACAGAAGCTAATGGTTTCATTTAGAGGAATCATATTGCGTACCCATTCCCAGTAGACCCTCGAAACTGGCTTATGCGTAGTAGAACTAAGTTTCTGTTTCAACTCTTTAATCACTAATTTTGATCAATTATAAGTCGATGATTAAATGAGGACTTTCTCTAACTTGATTTTCATGTGCTGCCAGTCTTTGTTACCTCATCAAATTAGGGAATTACAAGCCTGTTATTTTTTACTATTTAGTTTAGTTGTTTCTGACATTATGTATTGATACCCAAAATCATTCACAATGACATGAATGTTTGCGCTTTATCTTGTGAACATTTCGTAATTATTTACTTTCTGTTTCTCTATATCATTCGTTTTTCGGTGTATTTTTTGTTTCTCGTGTACTACTGTTGTCACGTATTTTTTTTATCTTACTGATCTCTTGTTGAAATAAGATTTAGAGGCTTAGACTGGTAAACATTTTTCTAGGTCTTATGCTGTTAGTTTCTATTCGCAGGATATGAATCAAATCTGAGTTGTTATCACAAATAATATGGTTTTGTGGTTCATAATATTATATTAGTTTATTTCAAACAGAAGTTTTCCAGATTAGCTGTAAGGATTTGTGATGATACTTTTTCGTAGGGAAGTTCCTGTGGTCATTTTATCTCACTATTTATAGGTCGCGTTATTAAATTTAGATGGAGTTTTGTAGTTTTTAGCAAAAATCCTCTAGGGAAGGATCTCTCGGGTCCAATTTCGTCTTATTTTTTGGAAAGACGATGAAACATATCCTTAAGCTAAGTACTCATAATAATTTACTTGAAGTCAAATATTTATAATCCGTATTTAGTTATGATTATGTGTGATAAGGTTTACAATGACTATTACTTATCGAATATAGTAATAATCAGGTATAAATGGATAGACGGAAGCATTTTATTCTTATCCACAAATTGGAAAAGGAAGTCCCATAAGGTCGCCCATGAATCATAGAAAATTGATAACGATTAGTAATTATAAGAAAGGAAGGATCTAAAAGTATTGTCAGTCATTCAAACGCAACGTAGAATTTGGCACATGTGTACATGGGTCCAGGTTGCTACATCTTATTAGCTTTGCGAAATGAAATCGGGGTAAATCCAGTGGTAGTAGGGGTAGTAAGTGTTAATGGCAATACAAAAGATCAGGCATCCAAGATACACTTCAAGAGAATATGGGTTTAGTATGAATAAAAATGTTTCACAAGGCAATTTAGAAATTCAAGTTCCACCTAAGGACGGAGTAAATGTACCTGCGTCATTTTGAGCGATTCCGAGCAATGAGACCCAGTCTCTGACCACTAATTACAAATTTTATCGGACCCTAACCGGGTAGTCCGAACTTATGTACATGACTTAGTCCAACACGATCTCCATGAAGTGATGCAAAATTTAGTTTGATCACTCATCGTGCATTGAGGCAGTCAGTGGATTAGCATACTTAATCCATGTCCTAACCATCTCACTCAAAAAAGATTTATTACCTTGTCAATCGATCTGTCATACCTAACTAGCACTTCGCGTCTAACTTCAGGACTGCTAACTCGATGGTCGCAGCATATATGAGCGTCTTCACTAAACTAGGCTAGAACGATCATAACTTTGTATAATTGGAAACTACCACTTTCCCATCACTTTAATAGACTGATAATGTTGCAGAAAGGTGGTGGTATTTTAAGCTATGTTCAAAAAAAGAACGAAAATGGTGAGCTTCTTTTCGCACACAATTTGGATTCCCCTACGTGCATAACAGGCTTCAAGAATGCAAAAGTGACAGAACCTCACTACCTTTTGAAGACCTATGTTGACGTTGTAGATAACTTTAAATAATCGGCCTGTTTTGCGTGAATGATTTATTCTCTCGATGTATTCCATCATTGCTCTTCTTTTGTAACCATACACAACAATGTTTCTGAACCCCCATCCAGAACACAGATAACTGGTTTATCGAGTTCTATAAGAACAGGGGGATTGATAAGTGGACATTGGAGTAGTCAGATGCAAGAGCTCGTCTTTTATTTCATTGAAGGACCTTGGCTTCAAAGTTACTGCAAAAAACGTTTTAGAGGGATTTGTAATGCTATTCTTTAGGATTTCTGCAGTATTGTCACGTTTAAAGTTAATGCTTATGTTGAGCGCATGTTTCAGTACATAGATAACTTATTTTCTAGGTTCTGTACTTTTGTTGACGAATTCTGATGAATATCTACTTTCGGCCGGTATTTTCTAAACAGGGCTAGCTTTTCTACGACCTCAAGATTGCAGACTTTACGGATTCATATAGCGAGAGGTGTAGTCAAATTATTCCCCATATCGGTTGAGGCTTAGGTATAAAAGATTGCTTAGTGATCTTTCCATCCAGGTCTTCCGTAGATTGCTCTGTGTAAAAATCCTTCACGTTTCTTTATCACCTCATAGCATCTAGAAAGTTGATGTTTTGTCTGTTTTTTACTCTATAAGTAAGTTCAATTGCTAGTTGAAGGCTGTTGAACATCTAAAAAAAATACAATTCAGGTTGCACATCGTAAATAATCGTAGCATCATCTACGTACATTTTGTATGGATGAAAATCGCTGATAGTGGGTTTCACTTGGCATTTTTTCAGAATAGCCATAAGCCAGATTGCTAGCAATGAACCTAAAAGAAGACCTTTGATAGTCTTTTTTCAATTGTGTGGATAAGTACAACATGCTTCGTAAGGTTTTCTCGTTTTCGTCCCGCCTTTATTTTTGGCAAGTAGTAACTCTTAGCAAACTTATTATGGATTATCGCTGTCTAAATAATATATATATACAATTGTACAACTGAGAAGATTAAATCCTCAAGGGATAGACCGCTTGGCTGAAGAATTTCCGTTTTTATCTTCCTCACTACTTTTTTCTGTGCATTCAAAACGCCGTTGAACTTAAAGAAAGTGGTGCTAAGCCCAAATAATAGTTGAACTTGTAATACGACGGGACGAATTATTACAGTTGTGGTACATTTTAGAATTCTCGACTGTGTTGTGTTCTGTGTTCATCAAAATGTCCAACCCATCTCAAGAAGTAAAGCTTTCACATCAAAATCGTATCGTTCATCATTTATTACTTGTTTATTGTCTAGTAAGTGTTCTTACTTAGTTTTTAGTTCGTTTAAACCCTCTCTAGAGATATTACACAAATTTATCTTTTATAATACTTTAAGTATCAGCAAACCTAACAAGATAAAATAATTTTGTCAACTAATATGGGATTGTAAGTAGACTTTCTTGTAAATAACAACCATCTTGCACAAGCAATCCACAATTTTTCAAAAATAAGGTCTTACTGTGTTGCACTTGATATTATTCTTATTAAACCTCTCAAGGAGTTAGAGTTCATCCTCAACTATTAATTGTTCATTTTTACATGAAAAGAGCTGCTCTGAAAAATGAAATGTATAGCTAATTCATCTTATGATGCTTTTGCAAATAATAATATTTATTTCGAATAGTAAGGTGGATTAACGTGTTGCGCGATTATTTAACCCCCGTGAGTTACGTTAACTTAAACAAGCTTTGTCATAGCGAACCAATATATAAAGACAAGTAGTACATCAATCATTTCATCATTTACATTTGTGCGTGGTGCATCCACATGTCATGAAACACTCTTCTAAGTGTAACCAATCAGTTTCTAGCTAAAAAACCTGTTGTGAATATTAATGAGATTAGACTATTTACCATTTTCACACACATCATAATCATATTCATTCTTACTACTTTTCTCATGTTTCAACCACCAGAAGACAATCATTCTTTCGTTTCTCTATCAAGCATACAATCAAGAGCGTCCACTCTAACCAATAATTCACGTAGAAGAACCAAGTTTCCTCATCGTATTATTGATAATTTTCAAAAATGGGCTTTTAAATCGTCCAGTCAGAAAACGTCTCACACTTCAAGTATATCTTCATTAAACTCAAGTCGTTTACCAAATGATAACGAATTAAGTGACAGCTGTGACTTAACTTCTTTCACCATATCTGAACGTGAAGAAAGCATTGTTTCCGAAGTAATTCGTAACCGTAAGCAACTAGAATCCTTGGTTTGTGGTCATTCTGATTTTGTTCGCAATCACGACTCACTATCTATCGATCCAGGTATAGTTGTAGTTCTCTCTAACCATCTTAGGCGTTGTTCACTGTTATATATCGGCTTTGGAAATGGCTGAACTGGAATTACGAAGCCAAGTTCCTTTAGATTCAAATGGAATGTTTAAAATGGAACAAGTTAATCATTCCAAGAATAATCTGGGTCGGATACTGAGCGTTCGTAACCCATATCGAAGAATGAGACTACTTAGCCCCTCCCCATGTGTTTTGGCTCCAAATGGAAGAATTTCAAACTCAGTAAGGTGTACCAAGTTACCAAATCAATATTTTTATTTACTATAACTATTATTCTAAATTATAAATTTTTTTCTTTTTTCGCAATAGAATATTGAAGAAGATGCGCGACTGGGGTTTGCAAATCTACCTGAACAAATGCACAGGAAAGCTGTCAAGAAGGGCTTCAATTTCACTTTGATGGTTGTCGGTGAGTTAATTTAATCCGGCACTTGCGGTGTCCATACCTTATGACAAGGATATTTCTCATAAATTTAATATTGGGTTGAATAGCTTTTTCATGTTTAACCTTCATAACAATTGACTGTGTTCATTTTAGTCTGTAAAATTAACTTACAATCAAAGTTACCTACTCACTCACTGCACAATCAACATTCCTTTTTACGCATCTACGGTTACATTTATCGTCAGTATCATATTTCGGTATAGTCTTGTTGGTGAGTCTCAATTGATATCTTTACATCACCTCTTTAACTATTAACGAACACTTTAGAAACTCAAAAAAATACTTGTTAGCGTTGTTTTAAACCATACACCTAGCTAACACATTATTTTGTATTGATTCGAAGACATCAGTTGTTATTTTGGAGGGGGTTAATGAACGAATTTCGTGTTTTTAAAACAAATGAATAGAATATTCGTCGTGTAGATGATGTGGAATAATAGAACGTGACCGATTGTTGGTTGCTCATGAGACCAGATTATTGACTCAGTCTCCTGAATGAACTGATATAAAATACAAGACCACAGGTATAGAAATCTTGAACACAACAATAAATATGATTAGACGTTAAGACATTCAACTTTCAATCACTCCGTCCACTTCTGTTTAGGGTAAACGCATTTACAAAATGCTGCTAGCCACCTAATAGTTAACTCTCAGTTTTAACTCTTTAAATAAATTCATCTCCTACCCAGAGATTTAATACCTTGAGGTACAAAGACAACACAGACCTGTTTGTTAAAGATATAATTTGATGGTACAGAAATATTTCATCAATTTTAGTGGATTGATAGGAAATAAACTGTCGGAACACTCACTTGACTTTTGTAAATGTAAGATCCCGAAGATTTAGCGAAGATGTCCATCTGCCCATTGAACCATGGCAGATAGGTCTGTAAACTTTAATCTGCTTAAGTAATCAGAAGATATTATTTCGCACGACTAATCATCGTCTTCTGGTTAACGTACACTTTAATTAAAGAAAGGTTTTCTATCAACCACTAACTCCACTGACTTTCAATGTTAGCTGGTCGATGTGTCGAGTTTAACCGTACAGGTCTGTCAAGCAACTGTAATCAGTGGGATGTGAGTCGAAATCGGTTATAGTGGTTAGATTCACACACTTTTAATCTTTAGCGTTTAAACTTGTTATTCTACGGACCCCCTTCTCTAGCCTTGTCTCTTTTCCGTTTGCATTCTCAGTTTCCCAGTGGCATTGGTATGACTATTTTTAGTCATCTGCCTTTCTCCTCTTGATTTTCCATTATAACACCCGTAATATGTACTCATTTTTACCAGGTTTTTACTTTATTCGTGGATCTATCTAATTTATACCATTTTTATACCATTTAAAACCTATAATTATCGCATTTTTATGTTACTGTGATATGGTGACTGACATAAATTAATTCGATTGATTTCTAAATGCTGCTCTCAGGTGAAAGTGGTTTAGGCAAATCAACGCTAATTAACAGCTTGTTTGTCCAAGATTTATACAAAGATAGAGAAATCATTGAAGCAAATAATCGTGTTCAAAGCACAACTCAAATTGAAAAACGTCAAATTGAATTGGATGAGCGTGGAGTCAAGTTACGCCTTACTGTTGTCGATACTCCCGGTTTTGGTGATGCTGTGAATTGCAATGACTGGTAAGTTTATCATGTATATAATCTTAGTTTACTTCTATGTCAAACTCTTAACGTTAGTATAATAGAATATGTGATACTTTTTTTGATGCTACCGCCATACTATTATTTCGTTAAATTAAATAATATTTAGTGACTGACAACTTGATTTGTTCTTTCTCATATTTTCTTTCTATAATATCAAGTTTAAGAACTTCCATTATAGACTAAGATTAGCTAGAAAAGTGCATATATCAAGCAGTGCTAGACTGTTCTTTCATCCTAATTCCAGACGTTAATCGGTGGATACTCACAACTCATATTCGACCGAACTCAAAGCCTTTATGCCTCATGGATATCACAACTACCAAGTCCAACCTATATTATACAGGCAACAGAATTTCACGAAAGTTTAGAAAATCCATGTCTATACACTAGTAAATACGTAATTATTTAGTATGTTCCTCTGTGGAAATTTTCTGAAAGTTAAGCTTCATGATATGCTGAAATCAGCCGGTAAACACATTGTATTTTTCCTAATGCTGAGAAGTCTAAAACTCAGATAAGTCGATTCTCCGCTGTTCTTCCTGGTTTTCATTACTTATCTAGATAACATCAATCTGTAAGATTTTTCAGTAAACAATGTATCTAAATGTAAGTTTTAAAATTGTGTAGGGTTCGTTAAAATATAATAATAATATTATATATCATTTCATCCAAATAATTTTAATACTTTTGGTAAGTAACTAGATTTCCAGGGGTTGAACTTCTACCGGGAGGTTCACTTGTTGACTTAGAATATGCTGATGACATAGTTTTATTTGTTGAAGACGCTGACAAAATGCTGAGTCTTCTGACCACTCTAAGCAACAATTTAAGCATGTTCGGGATGCGATTCTCCCTCTCGAAATGTAAAATGTTGCTTCAGGATTGGGTTGCATTGACACCCGAACTAATGATAGGGAGTGAAGTAGTTGAGCGTGTCGATCGCTTCACTTATCTTGGAAGTCTCATCGGCCCTTGTGGTCTGGTGTGTGACGAAGTCTCAGCACGGATACAGAAGACTCGCCTAGCTTTTACCAACTTGCGTCATTTATGGCGTAGACGAGATATCCGTCTATCAACCAAAGGACGCGTTTACTGCGCAGCAGTTCGTTCCGTCCTACTTTATGGCAGTGAAACATGGCCGGTAATAGTAGAGGATATCCGTAGGTTACTAGTATTCGATCATAGGTGTCTTCGAGGGATTGCTCGTATATCCTGGGACCATCGAGTAAGTAACGCAGTTGTTAGGAAACGGGTACTAGGTAAGGATGGCAAATCAATTGATGAAGTAGTGAAACTTCATTAGTTGAGATGGGTGGGACACGTGTTACGTATGCCCAACGACCGACTGCCTCGACGTACGATGTTCATTGGTATAGGAGAAGATGGGAAGAAAGGTAGGGGCGGTCAGACCAAAACATGGCACAATTCCATGAAGTCACTGTCAAGTGGACTGAGTCATGTTGGTAGGTGTAGACTACTTGGTTGGGGACCACGAGATGATAGCAACCGATGGTTAGAGACCCTGAATGACATGTCTCAAAATCGTTTGCAATGCCGCAGGTGCATAAACTCTTTGTGTTCTCCCAAATTTTGATCTCTTTATTCCTTCTTGTCTCTTTTTTTCTCTTCCCAAGTTTATTTCACTGTATTATACTCTTTAAATAACATCTCCAAACACTAATTTTCCCGATTACTGCTTATACTCTTATTACCTCTACCACTACGGGATTTGAATGGACAATTGTATTTGTGTGCTAATGTGGTGTGGCAACTTGAACTGCTGTACGTACGTACGAAGTTTTACGTTGTTACTGACTGACTGACTGACTGAAGTAACTGAGCACTTTCCAAGATGCTGATCGTTTTGAAGGTTTGTTTGTGGATCACTTATCTTATTATTCAAACTTCTAGTTAGAACTGATAATTAACACTGATTGCTTTTTCTTTTTCAAGCTATATTATAAAACGACTGTTTATCTGAGATGTGTTTAAAACTCGTGTTAACCTTTTGTTTTGTACTTTTTCTTAGTTGGAAACCAATAGAAGATTACATAGACAGCACATTTGAACAATATTTTAAAGATGAATGTGGTCTGAATCGTAAAAATATTCATGATCATCGAGTTCACTGTTGTTTGTATTTCATATCACCATATGGTCATGGGTAAGTAAATGAACTTTATTTGTTAAGATGTAGTTTGATAATTTAATTAGTCCATCAGATTAATGCCATATTGATTGTATATATATATTCAAATCAATACGATATGTATATTGAATTCGTACCAGTTACCGTTTTTCTAACCTGACATGTTCATGTAATCTAGTTGTTTTCATTAACAAAATGTAGATTCACTGTTCTGTAGTATCATTTTTTATTGTATTTCTGTACATTGGTAGGATTGAATGATTGTTTTTGTTACATAATCAAAGCTTGAGGTTATATAAGGTGAATACTTAAGTCATTTGCATATGTAAAATCATGTGATAAACACTAACTTACTTGCTAACATTCTTGTTTAAGTTTATATATACGTAGCTATCATTTAGTTAAAAAAATTAATTCATTTAGTATTAATGCAGTGTAGAAATGTTGTCGAATTGTCAATTCATTAAGACTAGTCCTAGTTATATTTCTAAGCTAAAATCATTCTTCTGAGTTCATTTTCCTTTATTAGTCCGTAATAGGTTGATAGAAATGCTTGTATGGTGTTGAAGTTATTCATAACTTTTCAAGTAAACCAAACTATGGTATAGAAATTCTCATCTTAATGTATTTTTTTAAGGAATTTATTGTTAACCTGTTGAGCTATGAGGAATATTTGTTGTGAGCACAAATGAAATTAATAACTGTCATATATAAACAGTGACATATTATGATTTTATTATAACAAGAGGAGATTTACAAGAGAAAAATCTAGCTATTTTTAATTAATATAAACGAAGTTATTTTGAAATTGTAACCGATTATTTTAAGGCTATAATCATAACTGTGTATTAATTATTTGATAAATTTGTTGAGAAATATTTGAGACACTATCGTATGCTGATTATTATTTAACATGGATTGGAAATTAATCAGAAATTGAATTATTTCAGTGTTTATAACTAGAGTAAATTTCTTCTCTAAACAAATAACTAGAGAGAAGGAGAGAATAGTCAAAGGTTTTGAGAAATCTCTTCCTTCTTTGTGTATGTTAACGACTAATGGTTTAAAGTATAATTTAAAACTCAAAATTTAGAGAATGGATCTTCTTTTTGTAGGGATTCATTATCAAACTGTACAACCGTGTATGGAAATTTGAGGATTACTTCCGTAAAGAAATATAAAACAATAAAATAAACATGGGGATGCAATAGTAGGATTTTAATACTAAATTATATAATGCAAATAGTAATAAAATTTTGAGTAACTTCTACACAATGTGCACAAATTAAGTATAATTGTTTATCTTCTTCGGTTTTACATGAAAGCTAGAAAAATTATCACTAACTTGTACACCCAATTTAAGTTAATTTACTTAACGTTAAAGTCGTTCCCTATCCAAGTGTTTAAGACAAGATAGCCAATTAAGTATCCAGGCCATTAAAGGACTTATCATTATCTTTTAAATATTGTTGTTACTTTTTTGACCTATTTTAATTCCCGGATATTGATGTGAGAAATTTTTTATTTTAATTCAATTTAGTTTACGCCAAATAGATGTTGAATTTATGCGCCGTCTTCAACATAAAGTCAACATAGTCCCTGTAATAGCTAAAGCTGATGCATTGACTGCTAATGAATTACGTGCATTTAAAGAACGCATAATGGCAGATTTTGATCGTTATAAAATTGATATTTATCGTTTACCTGAATGTGACAGTGATGAAGAGGATGAAATCAAACGTTTAGATAAAGAAATCAAAGTTAGTTAAACATTCATTCATTTATGTGGTAGTTCTGTCATAGTAATCGGTGTTTAAGGCGATAACGTGTCCTGAAAAATACTAATTTGTGTATAAATGACTGTAATTGTTAAGGGACTTTTTTAGCCACATAGTCTTCAACTGAAAAGCCATTGTTGCTTCTTTCTAGTTTGCGACTCCTCAATACTATGACAGCTTAAATCTCAATTGACCCGTGTATTTCACCGATTCTCCAGTTGATAATCGATTCCTGAATGAATGTCATAAAATTGCTTGAATAAACCCTAGATTCTACGTTGCTTATGACTGACCTATAAACTACAAATATATAATCACTATTCGATTCCAACGTTTAATCTCCTTATGATTGATAATAATTCGTGTAAATTTCGAAAAATTTTGTATTTTATAGGGAAGTTATATTTACATTCACATTTGTTTGCATAAGATATTACAGATTCAAAATTACTCAAGCTTGCTTGAAACGTTACAAGGTCTTTAAAATCAGTATTAGAAAATAAAGTGTTTATATTTATCCAAGCTTATCTATTTGTTAATCATCTCATAACGTTAGCTCTATTGATGTCTTTATGAATCATATGTCTAACAACTTCAAAGTATCAGTGCTATACAAAAATTTTCATATTCCATTTGTAGATGAGAAATACATTTACTATAAATTTATTGTCTCTTTTAAGAGTAATCAGGCTAAAATAACTTATATATGAAAATTATGATAAGAAGACCAGACAAGTCTGTTGGACGAAACTTCGTAATTGCTTAAATACCAATCGACGAGATTATTTCAAATATAATTTCCACATATAATGGCTTGTCGATACTCAGCGCCCAATTTTTGTCAAAATATTCGTTCTAACATTGACGAATATTCGTATAAAATAACTTCTATTGTTCCGATGTGAAGTTGCATTTCTCAAGCTCTAAATAGTTATCTTTTTTTCCGAATAGGCTGTTCTACCTTTCGCTGTCGTCGGCAGTAATTGTGTTATCGATTTAGATGGTAGTCGTCGAGCTCGTGGTAGACAATATCCTTGGGGATCAGTTGAAGTGGAGAATAGTCGTCATTGCGATTTTACAAAGCTGCGTATATTTCTGCTAAAGTAAGCATACTATTGTCATTTGTATTCCATAGTCAGTCCACTTCCTATACTTTAAAATTTATTGATACTGATTTCTTAGACGTATTATTTACTATGAATATGACACACTACTATCGGTACCAAGAAAAGTTTCCAACACAGTGTTGCTGAACCGGATGAAAGACTCAATCGACGCACAACTTCGAGATCAACAGGCTGGATTTCGCAAGGATCGGTCATGCACAGACCAAATCGCGACACTACGGATCATCGTTTAATAGTCAGTTGAGTGGAACGCGTCATTATACATCGGCTTCCTTGATTATGAGGAAGCATTTGACAGCGTGGATAGGAGAACACTGGAGACTTCTTCGACACTATAGTGTGAGTACCTGAGAAGATCGTCAACATCATCCAGAATTCATACGACGGACTACACTGCAAAGTGGTGCATGGAGGACAACCCACAGACGCACTCCAAGTGAGGACCGGAGTCAGACAAAGCTGCTTACTCTCCTCCTTCCTCTTTCTTCTAGTGGTCGACTGGATTATGAAGATCTCGACATCTGAGGGAAAGCACAGAATACAATGGACAGGTTTGATGCAACTACACGATTTGGATTTCGCAGATGAACTGGCTCTTCTATGCCATACACACGAATAAGTGCAGATGAAGACAACCAGTGTAACAGCAGCTTCTACATCAGTAGGCCTCAACATACACAAGAGAAAAAAGCAATATCCAGAAATACACAACACGGAGAACACCAACCCAATCACACTTGATGGAAGATGTGGAATCTTTCACGCACCTGGTCAGCACCATCGGTGAACGTGGAGGATCCGATGCAGACGAGAAAGTGAGGATTGACAAAGCAAGGACAGCATTCCTACAATTGAAGAACATATAGAGTTCAAAACAACTGTTAGCCAATATCAATTTAATGATCTTCAATGCAAACGTCAAGACAGTTTTGCTATACGGAGCTGGAAGTTTGAGAACAACTTCAACGATCACCAAAATAATACAAGTATTTATAAGTAGTTGTCTATTCGGGATACTCAATGTCCGTTGACCGGATCGGATACCATCTGCAACAGCCTACTGTGGTATGGAAGAGGACGAACCAGCTTCAATCCGATGAGGAAATTATGAGACGAAGCCGGAGATGGATAGTACATACACTGAGGAAATCACCAAACTGCATCACAAGGTAAGCCCTAACTTGGAATCCCGAAGGGAAAGAGAAACTAGGGAGACCAAGGAACACGTTGAGTCGAGCATTGGAAGTAGACATCAAAGGGATGAATAGTAACTGGAAAGGATTGCCCAGGACGGAGTTGGATGGAGAGTGTTAGTGAGCGACCGATGCTCCTCCACGAGGGGTTACAAGCGTAAAGTAAGTAAGTAAGTAAGTAAGGTTTATTGTCAAAAGTATGTATACTTAATATAAATAAAGGCAATTATGTTAACCTATCGCAACATAGGACCTGGCATGAACGACTAAGGATTCACATCAAACCTTGAATTATTACGATTAGAAGAATGGTAGTGGTATCCAGCTCAGAGAACAAGACTCCATCAAAATCATTCATGTGAGCTACAAATCTTCTCCACCATCTCAAAAAGGTATTATTTGGTGTTTACTCTAACGGAAACAATAAAAAGGGAATAACGGGAAATTGAAAAGTACGTAATAAAAATGTATTTAATATCTGGAAGACAATGAATGACCAATTACTGTCGACTTGGGACCGCTTCATCCATAAATTGATCTTATAGGTCAAATTTACTAAACATTCGAAATTATAGCACAGGCGTACAAATGATATATAGTTCGGTAACGGAACTGAAAAACAATGAGTCCATTACAAGTTGTTAAGTTGATTATATTTTCTTTTTTTAGTTATTATCACCATTAAGATTTTTTTTCACAGGCAGAGAAATTATTAGTGTTTCATCAAAAAATTTGCTTTTTTTTCACGACAGACTTTGTTTTATTCCTTGTTATTCTCTTTAAAATTTATTTTAGGACACATATGCAGGATTTGAAAGATATGACATTGGATGTGCATTATGAAAATTATAGAGCGAAATACATTACTGAACGGATGTCTAAGCGTCAAAGCGATCGTCGTGAAGGTGTTGGTACTGGAGCGTATGTTATTCACTTTGAAAACAATTTACTTATTCTATTTATTCATATTCTTTCATTCAGTCATCCATAAAGCTTGAGTTGCATAACAAAAATTCCTAACTGGAATAATACATTTTCAACATTTCTAGCCGGGTTAAAGACAAAGTATTTGATTTCCACCCACGATGTATACACTTAACAGTATCCGTACTGTTTTTCTCATATGTTTGTTGCTTTTTCACATTTCTTTACTAATAGTCGGAAATCTTTCTGGACATTTATCATCAACTTCCAATTACCTCTTTCTATCAGATATATTGATGGTACTTATTGTATCGTTGTAATGTGCATCTTTCGTGGTATGGAAGTAAAATTTCGTAGTAAATATTTTTACTTCCCATATTCAATTATAGGCTCATTTAGTGGATTGGGGTTTGTTTGTTGGTTATTCAAATTGTTATTGTCGTATATCTTTCCGATTTTAAGTATGTATGGCTTGTATTTGTATTATTTAAACTCTTGGTGTTATATTTTAGTTCAGCCTGATCAAAATTTCACTGATCTCTTCAATCTGTGGACTTTTTTGGATATGAATGTCTTACTTTGACAGCATGATGTAATACTTTTCTCAAAATCATAGCCACTTACCATGAACTAAGAAGCCTACAGTTACATTTTATAAATCTGTGTATATTGTCGATTTTCACATTGTGATAAATCTCCTCCGAAAAGTGCTTTAAAGTTCAATATTTAAATATATACAATCTGTACTAATGAACAAGTTTATCCCATCTAACTTTATCGCAGAAAATTTTTAAAAAATGCAAGATTTGTCTCATACCAGTAAATTATAAGTGATTTTTACTGGGTTCAGGTTGCTTTTTTATGATGCCGCACAGTTTTACACAGTTCAGGGTTGCGGTACTTGTTTTGTCAATGTCAACCTTTTGTTTCCTATGAATTTTCATCATTCTCTTATCATTTCAATTTGCTTACTGTGTTAAAGAGAATTTGATGGGTTCTTTTAAGGATAATGAACTTCATTTTGTGGTGCGATCTGTATGTTGGCTTCATTTCTTCGCTTTGGATGTTATCAATTATTTGTATGAATGTTTTTTGATGGATTTCAGTCTTAGAATTTTTTTCTCTTGCTTTTCGAACCTACTCAAACATTGTTGATTAGTATAGCAATTGTTATAGTTGATAGGATATAGTTGTGTTGATTTTCATGTTTGAATCGTGGTCAGTGGCCTATGCTCTTCCATGAGAGGTAACAGGCGTAAATAAGTAAGTAGGTTAGGTCTTAATCTTTCATTTGTGAATTATGCATCGTATAATTGATACCTGTTCATATTTTTATATAAGTAAATCCTTTAAGATATATCTTGGATTTAACTCAAGGTGTTTATGGAACAAACAAGTAAGCAACTTTGAATGTCTAAGACTAGTACTTTCTGGATAGGAATAAATATTTGCAAAACTCTCCATTCCGCTTGACGATCTGCTTCACTCTTAGAGAAACAATCGGAATTCTCGAATATATATAGAATACTGAGCGAATCTTTGAAGTTATTTTAATTTAAATCACTGAGATTTTGCAGATAAAACTCATCTTTAATGTCCTCTATGAGTTTGACGTCTAAATTTTATGGTCCGATTCGTTTAAATTTATTTTAAGGTCCCCATAAAATTGTATCGTTTTTGAACATTTATTTTTTTATTTATATAGTTCCAATGGTAATCATGTAATATACTTCCTTTTGTCTACTTGTTGATAGATTGGCAAGATTAGAAAAAGAAGGTGGAACTGGCTTTGAGGCTATTGTTGATCAAGATAGTTTACTGAAACAGAAAGAGGAAGAGGTTAGTCAAGTTATAAACTTTTGTTGTGGTAATATATGTTGTGTTTGGACATGTTATTTCCCAGTCTTTAAATTATAAGATTACCACCTTTAAAAAAATGCAACATAATATTGGGATTCCTCACGTTTACAGTTTCCATAATATGCTATCTGAATTATTTCATACAAATATTCCCGAATTTTGTGAGCTTATGGTCTTGCTAATCCACAGTATTTTTGTCATACATCATTATTCATTTATTTACGTCCGTCTTTATTCAAAGAAACAACTTTTAAAATATCTTTACCGTACAGTATTCTGAATGTATGTGGCATTAATTGTCGTGGAGTTTGTGTGCTAAATTGTTGATGTTGCTCTTTTTTAGTATCAACTATATCATTTGTTTAATATCTACATCAGCTTGAATTACTCAGTGTGTTCCTAAAGAGTCTTTACTTTAGTTCATATAAGTTATCAGTTTATGATCATAAACTTTACTACATTCCAAAATATAGGCACATAGTTACTTGTCGTATCTTGAGTGATGGTTACAAGTACTATCTCAATCCATATATGAAAGTGAGCAAAATGGGACTGAAATGTACAGCCGAATCATTGTAATATAAATGGCAAAAATTTTAAATTATTTTTAATTTATTAGTGCTAACTCGTACTGTGACGTGGCTGTCCTGGAATTCCTAATCACCGCAGGTGATGACTGACAGGAGTTGATTGGAAGAAAGGTAATCGGAACTAAACTGAAGTGGTGAAATCAATTCTCATAGTCATTGAATGTCTGACGCTTGTTGATAGTAACTGACTAACTGGTTGGAGTGAGAGCGATAATCGCGACTAATGATGAGAAACGTTGGATGAAGACCTAAAATCGACCACAATATTTGAGTTCAATTTGTTCCTTATCTTCAACCAGACCCCTAGTTATAGTATTATTTCATAGTTTGTATTGTTGTACATGATTTTTTACGGTTATTAGTCTTATTACCCTACTACCAACGTTCCGACTCTGTACATACATTTTGTTTCATTTGATCTCGTTGTGCTGAAGTTGTCTGTTTCAGATTATACACAACGTAAATCCTTTAGGGATTTCAATGGTTTATCTTTCTAGGTAGATCATATTCATGCAAACTGTTCAAAATTGACGATTGAAATGACTATTCATTTTAAAAGTTACTCAGATCTGGTTAACAAATTTCGTTTATGCTCTTTTACTATACATGCTATTCAATGAACTTGATAACATCTTAGGTAATTGTGGTGTAATGTGTTTTCTTGAATGGTAAAATTAAATTTTTGTATGTCACACGACTTGTTCGAAATCGAACACTTTTGTATCTTTAAGACCTTATCTTCATCAGTAAAAACATCCTTCGAATGTATTATCAATAATCATATTAGCCTTAAAATTGTTTAAGTTCACGGGTATTTTCTAAATGTTGTCTAATATAAGACGATGTTTATCCAATGTTCTGTTAAATTAATTGATTATAACTTATATAACGTAGTCAAAATGATTAGATTTGCTTGTTGCCTTTAACTCATTAGTATTTTATGTATAGAGTTAGTTTTATATATTTATGTCATACATTCCATTGTAATTTATATCTTGATTGTTGATTAAATTTCTCATTGAGTTTCATTCATTTGCAAAATACATCAGTTTCCAATAAAAAGAACATAGTGTAACCAGTTTCAGTTAATAATCAATCTCAGATAATATTCAACGTCTTGGAATGAATATGTATCGATCTAAATTGACGCTCATCGCACACTGGGGAACAGTTAGAAAATTAAAACCTATAGTATTTGTTGCTTTTCAAGAACTTTGAATATTCACTACAATTCTTATAGTGCGAAGCGTTTGCAGGCTGAATAGTAGAAAGTTGAATAATATTACATAACAGCTTCGTCGATTATATCATAATAGTTACTCATTTTTTTATCGGTATTAATCAAACCTTTCAAAAACTTTTTATTATTGTTGGCATATTGATAAATATTTTTCGGTATATATATTTTTTCTCTAGCTTCAAAGAATGCAACAACTAATGAGTAAAATGCAAGAACAGTTAAAACGTAATACCAATGTTGTACCGAACGCATCAGTCGGTTTAAATAATGGTACAAGTAATACTCAATCTTCTCCTATTCCTGCAACTGGTCAACAAGCTTCTTGAATACAAAAAAGTATATAGGTTGTCTAGGATTCAAAATCCCATTATCACATTTATTTATATCTTATTATTTTGCTTAAAATTCAGTCGATTAGGTCGGAATATAGTCAATATGATGTGCTAACAATAAATATTTTGTCGTTTATACTAATAAAACTATTACTTCTTTCTTTCTTTTCTTGAATCTATACAACATAGTCTAATTAAATTGTTTGTGTCTACTTATGTTTATTCAATTACCGGTTCCATATAATTTTTTTTCAATAAAAAAAAACTAGACAGAAATTTTCTTTCTTCTTTTTACTGAACTTATTACATTACATATTCTCAGTTTTTAATTATGTTCACATCTCATTAAGAATAAAGATAGAACAAACTGTTAATTTTCAATTCTACTGATGGTATATTGTTTTTTTTTGCAGTTCATCATAAAGTTCTTCCTTCTTTTCTGTTTTTAATTAATCATGAATTTGCATTTTATCTTACCTTTATTATATATTGAATCAAATCCATTGATTACTTTCTTTTCATTTTATTCATCTAGTCTAGCTTATTCGTGTTTTTTTACTTCGTGGTTACAACAATTCCTGTTACACTTTGTTAACCAAAAATTATATTATTTGATGTGAAAAACAAACTTTATATTTTTTATCTGTGTACGCATTTTCATACTTTTTGTTAAATTTTGTCTTTTCACTTCATTTTATTATTTCGCCTATCACAATGTCAAATAATTGTCAATGTCCTAAAAATACTTACTGTGCTCAGTTATTATTATTTTTTGCTGTGTCAAGTGGGTTATTTTTTCCTCTTTATGAACTTAGCTGTTTAGAATTGACGATTTTGTGTAAAATATTTATGTATGCGTAATTAGTATCTCCCCCTTTACTTAATACCTAATTAGGAAAGTTTTGAAAAGCTAATTTTTGGTCATTTGTAAGATATTACTGTTTCACCGTTTCAAATGTCAACCAAGATTAAAAGTTTCTGTATAATGAGCTCAGCTTATATAATCTCGGTTTTACGAACATCAATTTCTACAGTTTCCGCTAATTCAAAAGAAATGTCTACAAATGTAATTACGGTCACGAAAGATCCTCGGAAACTTAATAGATTATCGTCTCATATTAAAAATACTTCAGAAATGATCCCTAGGATATTGAGATTAGTATTTCTAACAAACCAACTTAAGAACCTTATTCAAATCTCTTTAGACAAAAAGACATACAGGCGAAACAGGACGTCGTACTGCTGACTGTAGAGAGGTGTGACAGTAGTACGGTATTTTCCTCGGGCGACCAGCATCTGCAGCGATGCTGCCTTCTCACAGGTAAGGGTTAGAAAAGGTCGACCCTGAAAATGCCACACCCCACGGATTTCCATCTCCAAGTTGGTCACGAACAATCATTCCTACACCTCCTAATAACTCTTATCTCCACAACTAACCCTTTTCACGTCCCTTCATTACCTAGCGCCACTAATGCAAACGATTTAAGTGGGTGGAACGTTATTCCCGGTCTCCTGAAACCACGCTCTAAACTACACGTAGGAGCTTTTAACGTACGAACACTTTGCCAAATAGGACAGCAGGCTTCCTTAGCTAGGACTTTAGAATCTCGCGCCATCGATGTGTGCTGCGTCTCCGAAACGCACATACAGGACCAGAGTAGCGCCATTCATCTGACCTCACCATATCAAAATAAAGAACAAACTTGATTCACACTTCATGTATCTAGTAGACTTGATCCTGCTTCCCGTGGCTTCCTTTGTGTAGGTGTAGCATTGAGTCCTAGGACAGAACTAGCTGTCTCAGACTGGATCCCAATAGACAGCCGTTTGTGCGCTGTTCGACTGAAAGGAACAGTAAGAACTCGGAAAGATAGGGACACTCGTCGTTGCCTCTTCGTCATCTCTGCCTATTCTCCCACTGACTGCAGCTCAGATAATGTAAAAAGTTGAGTTTTACAGAAAGCTCTCGGACCTTCTCCGAAAAGTTAGGTGCTCTGATGTAGTAATAGTGGCTGGTGACTTTAATGCTCAAGTAGGTAAACTAAACAAAAGGGAAAGACACCTGGGTGGATCTTATGGTGTCTTGGCTTAAAGAATAGATAATGGCGACCGTCTGTTGCAGCTATGTTCAGATAACCGCCTGTTTCTAGCGAACACTAACTTTAAGCCTAAGCAAAAACATATTTTGACATGGTGACCCCAGAATTCGTCCCAACGTTGGACCCAACTAGATCACATCGCAAAAAGCCACCGATGGGGGGGTCTCGACAGAAGACTGTCGCTTGTTCTGGAGCACATATTCTTGTGCGAGCATGTATTTGTCTACGTCTTATTGGACGTAGGAAAGACGCCTAAAGGAAACCTCTTAGGGTCTTACTTAATGATAGTCAAGCTAAGAGTATACTTCAGGAACAACTAGAAAAACAGTTAAGCAGCCATGTAAGTGATGCCCATCCCGAGGCAGCGTGGAATGACATCCGAAAAGCTGTGGAAACAGCAGTAATATCTGCTAGTAAGGTAAACCATAAGGTTAAGGAGGAACACTGGATCTCAGCAGCATCTACCGCACTGATAGATACTCGAAAACTCATCCCATCTGGTTCTGAACTTTACGAGAAGCGGAGTCAGCTTAAGCGCAGGCTGGTAAGAAGCCTACGCAACGATCGCGAACAGTGGTGAGTAGCAAAAGCAAGAAAGCTAGAAAGGCAGCGGCAATAAGTAACAGCAGATAATTATCCAGACTTGTCAAGGAAACCGGTATTAGGAATCCAACTGTTAGCGAAACAATCTCAGAGAAAGATGGACATATTATTCATTCTCAATCCACGAGATTGGAACGGTGGGCAGAACACAATAAGGATCAGTTCAACTGGCCTTCAGCCACACTTCGGTTTCCCACGATCTCCAGTCAACCTGAATGGCAAGTTAATGTAGGTCCTCCGACTCTACGAAGTTGAAAAAGCCATAGGATATCTGACACGAGGGAGAGCAGCAGGCTCTGACAGGTTTACTCCTGAGTTTCAAGGATGGCGGTCCAGTATCAGCAGGGATATTGTCTGAAGTCTTAGGTAGAATCTGTGAACTGGACGTGATCTCATCTGACTGGTCTCAATCTCTGATTGCGCCAGTCCGTAAGAAAGGACAAAAGTCCTTGTGACAATCACAGAGGAATCAGACTGACTAATATGTCAAATATTAGATTCAATCTGGTGTGTGACGAAATTTCAGCACGGATACAGAAGACTCGCCTAGCTTTCGCCAAATTGCGTCATTTATGGCGTAGACGAGATATCCGTCTATCAACCAAGGACGTGTTTACTGTACAGCAGTTCGTTCCGTCCTACTTTATAGCAGTGAAACATGGCCGGTAATAGTAGAGGATATCTGTAGGTTACTAGTATTCGATCATAGGTGTCTTCGAAATATTGCTCGTATACCACTGTGTAAGTAATGCAGTTGTTAGGAAACGGGTACTAGGTAAGGATGGCAAATCAATTGATGAAGTAGTGAAACTTCATTAGATGAGATGGGTGGGACACGTGTTACGTATGCCCAACGACCGACTGCCTCGACATGCGATGTTCATTGGTATAGGAGTAGGTTGTAAGAAAGCTAGGGGCGGTCAGACCAAAACATGGCACAATTCCATGAAGTCACTGTCAAGTGGACTGAGTCATGTTGGTAGGTGTAGACTACTTGGTTGGGGACCACGAGATGATAGAAACCGATGGTTAGAGACCCTGAACGACATGTCTCAAAATGGTTTGCGATGGCGCAGGTGAATCCACTCTTTGCGTTCTCCCAAATTTTAATCTCCTGATTCCTCCATGTATTTTTTTCTCCATCCAAATTTATTTCACTGTATTATACTCTTTAAATAACATCTCCAAGCCCTAATGTTTCCGATTACTACTTATACTCTTACAACCTCTACCACTACGGGATTTGAATGGACAATTGTATTTGTGTGCTAATGTGGTGTGGCAACTTGAACTGCTGTACGTACGTACGAAGTTTTACGTTGTTACCTGACTGACTGACACAGTCCACACGATATAAAGTTACTTGGACCAGGGGCCAAACTACAACTTGATCGATAAAATACGATCAACGTTAAACCAGCATCTGGCATCTTTTACTACCCAGTGATTAGTTAGTTGCCAACTATTGTTAACTAAGGTGTGCAGGAATACCTTCTCAGTGCACTTATTTTTTCTCTCACAATAACGTGCAGTCAAAAAAGCAGTGAAAGGTACATATCAGTAATACATTTTGGTAATATTTACCAAGTAAATAGGCGTGGTGATTTTTATTAAGGTTTTGTGAGTAGACCGTCAAGAAATTCCCTCACTTTTCTGTTACCGTATAAAAATTTTAAAAAACAAACATTACTAACTCAAAGATACAAACATTTTTGAACTTTGTACTTATTGATTTTTTCAATTTTGAGGTAGATATGTGATTGAAATAAAGAAAAATAAAAACAAATTGTAAGTATAACATGGAGCGATAGAAGGAGAAACAAGCAACAAATAAAAGTTAATTTACTAATTTACGTTCGTAAAACTCAAAAGGTAATCAGTATTTAATTGCATGTAAATAAAAAGGCGGATAAAGTATAGATTAAAAATTGTCGAGATAAAAATAAATTACAGGACAAATCAATATAATCTGGTCAAGAAGTTCCTAGTTCTTTCATAATTGACTAACAACAGTAATCGATAGCTCATAAATATACGTGAATAAAAACAATTACGACCCTATACATTTTGTACCTTAGGCTGTTGTGTTGTTGTTTGCTGACGATCCGGTTCATGAGTCAAATGATTTTGTTCTTTTAATTGTGCTTCACTAGCTAATCTTCTTAATTCCTCTTCATTTGTTTCAAACATATCCTCTTCATCTTGAGCAGTCTGAAAAAAGAAACAGTACACTGTTAAACAGTTATATGATTTATATGTTGTTATATAGGTAATATGTGTTACAAAGGAAATAAAGGGAAATCATACTTCCTAAGTCATGGAGGGTAACAAACGTGATTTGAATCAAATATAGACAAGAAATTAATTGCATATTATTCAAAACCTTAGATGGTTTTGTGATTTGTATACAAAGAATCAGAAGTCAAATGATTTTAGTATGTTGAACAAATGAATTTGGGTATGATGTACTAAGGGTATGCAGTTTGAACAAAAAATATAAATAATTGGTTATGTTGTCTTCATAAGATTGCTGATATTTGGTGTAATTAATAAGTGAACAACTCTCAGATTCAGTATATAGTTTAGAAATAACAAAATCAATCGATTAGGATAGTGACTATAATTACGGTGGTCAGATCGTATGTTATGCGAATCTAGTAAGCGAGCGACCATAAGGGGTGTATTGCTAATTGTAGACCGATGTAAGCATGATCAGTTGTTTGAAAAACAAAGGAAATAAATTTATCAGTACGGGAATTTGTGGAGATTGTAGTATTTTAGCTGGAATTCTTCGATCAACAACTGTTGTAATTCAGATGCTTTTGCAATTTTTTAGATTTTATTTTAACAGTTGAAATCAGAGATCGATTAAAGCAAGACCACCATTGGGAACCCGGAAGCACCGGATGGAAGATTCTCCCTAGTATGGGGCTCCTCAGCAACACGTATCAATTATCCAGTGCATAGGACTCGAACCCAAGGCCTTCGGTCTTGCGCGTGTACGCTTAACTTCTAAAGCACTGAGCCGGCATCCAACAATGGTAATATTTAACTTTAATCCATGCGGTGCTTTCAGGTTTTCAATGATGGTCTAGTTTATATCGACTTGTGAATTCAACTGTTAACATAAATTTAGTCTAACAAATTGTAGAAAAAAATGCAGTAGCATGTGATATGCAGAGCCAACCAGAGGTAGGACAAAATCAATCGATGGCAATCAGAATTGGCACAAGGATCAAGTATATTTCACTGGGGTCAACGGGTCAATTTTCTAAGGATAGAATGGTATATATATATATATATATATATATATATATATATATATATATATATATATATATATTTGTGCATTTTGTTAAGTAGTCTAATACACTTTCTCGCTTAA